TGCAGTAAGATTTGTCTGGCATGATCTGTTTTTGACAAACCCATGTTGGCTTTTAGTAATGATTTTGTTTGCCTCTAGGTTCTGATTCGTTGTTTGATTCCTTGCTTCCCATTTCTGGGAGAAAGCCATTTACGCCCTTACCAAGAGAGAAGCTAGGTATAAGGAGGGAAGTTCAGCCTCCCTCCCCAGCATTAAACATGCTTTGCTTTGTGAGGACAACTCCAAACCAAGGGATCTGGCCATGGTGCCAACTTCTCTTTGGGTGTGGGAGTGATGAGCAGCCCTGTGGGATGTTAATGAGCAGGGCTGCAAAAAGCCACCTCTCTCTTCCCACCCACTAATTTGACAGATATAGCTAGTAAATAACAACAGAAAGAAAGAAGGGGGTGAGACATCTGAGATTCATCGGTAGGAGACACTTTTCCCCCAATCCATCCAAGCACCTGTTCTACAGGCTTACAAACAAATAGGAACTACCGGCTACACCTCCGAACAAACCCAAGCAAAGCTAAAGTAAAGCCAGAAAAGGGCCGCTGCCGAGATACTGGGGATCTCGCGTCTTTACGGCGCGGAGGTTGCTATTTCAGCAACTACTACAACTTGTTAAAGGACAAAGAAGTCCCGAGTCCTCCCGGTCATGTCACAAAGATTACTTCGGAGTAAATACCGAGGCGTTCGCTTCGGGAGAAGCAAACAAACGGAAGAGCAGGCTGTAGGGAGGCCGCTGCGACTTCGCTTAGCGCCGGGGCTGGCTTCGGAGCAGCCATGTGCAGAGGCCCGGCCCGCCCTTCCTCCTCCAGAGCTACTTTGTGTAAGTTGCAGGGGTTTGGGCCAGGGTCTCCACCCTGAGATTTCCCCTGGGAGACTTGGCGGTCGGAGCAGCAGCCACGTCAGCCCACTTTGCCCTTCCCAACCCCGCCCGCCGCCGCCGCCTCCTCCGGCCGCGAACCGGATCCGCCGCCTCGCTTCCCCGCTGGTATCTTCGCCACTCTAGTCGGCTCCCCGCGCCTGCCCGCTCCGGGCTGCAACTCCGGCTCCTCCCCCGCGCCGGCACCAGATCCCAGCATCAGGTAAGGCTCCGGCTGCTGCAGCTGCCTCCTCCGCCTCTGCTCCAGCGCCCGCGGCCTGGGAAAGATAAAGAAAGCTGGAGCCGCGAGGTACCCTCGCTTTCCGGCTGCCCCGATCTCAGTCCCGCTGCTGGCTGAAGCGTCTCCCCGCTTTCCTTTCCCGTCCCTTCGTTGGAAGGGCATGGCTTGCCTCCGCTTCCCTTTTCCGCCCACCAGCCCCTCTTCTTCCTCCGAGCTTAGGCCGTCTTGATTCCACCGCAGCCCTGGCATGCCTTGCTGATTTTAAATTCCCGCCGCGGCTTCTGCCCGGCGGCTTTTTCTGGTGTGTTTTAGCCGTTCCTCAAGGTTTTCCAAGCTCTAGGCCGGGGGAGCCGTTGCATTGTTTCTCGAGACGCTGCTGCCTTCACTCTTTACCCGCTTTCTAAGCCGCTATTGGTCCCCCCCCCCTTTTTTGTGTGTGTGTATGTCTGTGTGTAGGAACAGGCCAAGAGTTTTGCAATTAGAATGTGATTTTGGCTGGTTTCCTTTAGTCCTCCTCCCCATCCTAACCCCGGTGGGGTGTCAGCACTGCAACTCTCTCCTCCTTAAGAGTTAGGGAGAGAGAGAGACTGCCAAATATAAGTTGGAGCTACAACTAGACATTGACTTTGCTTGTCAGAAGGTCGCAAAAAGTGATCACATGACCCTGGGACTCTGCAAGGGTCTTAAATACGAATCAATTGCCAAGTCTGGATTTTGATCATGTTCCCATGGAGATGATGCAAATAGTTGTAAGTGTGAAAAACGGTCATAAGTCACTTTTTCCAGTGCCTTTCTAATTTTGAAAGGTCACTAAATGAACTGTTGTAAGTCAAGGACTATCTGTATAGAGAGGCCATTGCTGTGGATGATAGCTTCCATAATCCTTTGCCATTGTCTTTGCTGGCTTGGACTAATGGGAATTGCCTAAAGATGTATCTGGATGGCATCAGATTGCATGCCTATGTATTATTTCATCAATCCCTTATAAAGGCAAGGTGGATCATTAGTACTCCAGAAAGGAACAAGGCCATACTAGCAGGACCCAGATCTCAAGAAAATGGCAGCTCTGTTAATATTTTTAAAGGACCAGGATGGCTTTCATTCCATACAGCATTAACCTTGTGAACTCTCAAGCTTCCTCCTTCCGTTATATATTCAAGATGGATAGTATTTAATATTTATTTGCTATGTATATGTAGGGATGTGGGTCTATACATATGTTGTACATAGTATGTTTAGGTGTATGTCATGTATGTGTTTCACTTTGAGAACGAGCAACTAAATTTCATTTTTGATGTGTGCCATTGTGCCCACAGTAAAAAATGACAATAAAGGTCATCTTATCTTATCTTTCAAGCCACAAACTAGGATGGAAGAATGTTAATGCTTAAAGTATTATTTATACTTACCTTAGTTTTTTCAAAAACTTGATTTTGAAAATTTTAGTGTGTAGTTTTTTTCCCACTCATTCTCTTGTTGATTTCTTCTCAGGGTGAACTATATGTGAGTGCATTTGCTTATTTCCTTTAGCCACGCTTCATCTGAATATTGTAAAGCTGCTTTGCTGGAATGCTTCTGCCTTTGAACCACAGGAATAAATAGGTGAGCCTCTTCCTTACCTGCACAGTAAGGGGCTGTAGCTTTGTGTGCAAAAGAGCCCATGCTCAAAGGCTGAGAAAGTGTCATGTAGAACTACTGCTAAATCACTGTATTACTGGGCTAGAAGAGCTAATTGCCTTAACCATCTAACTTCATTAATCCATATATTGAATGCTTTACAGTTAGATTGTTGTAATGCAGTATAATGTGTGGTTTTGCTTCTGCTGGATCTGGAAATAGATGCAGAATGTAATATTGGAACACCAAATGGGGCACTTGGCCATATACCTCTGCTGAAGCAATTACCATTGACTATCGGTTAGTTTACCAAGCTGGATCAAAATTTTGAGTCTGGCATGCAAGGGTGTAAACCAGGGGTAGTCAACCTTGGCTCTTTTATGACTCGTGGACTTCAACTCCCAGAATTCTGGGAATTGAAATCCATGAGTCATAAAAGAGCCAAGGTTGACTACCCCTGGTGTGTAAACAATCTTGAACTAGGATATAGATCCTATCAAATATCAGAGAAGTCCTCTTGCAAGTGCTGGGGTTGGCAGAATGCCCTTTCCTGATTACTCGTAGTTAGGACTATGGTGGCCCTCACTTTGTAAACTGAAACCTATATAAGATAACCTTTATTATTTCTTTATTGTCATTTTTTACTGGCATGTAAGGCATCTATATTTTGTTGATCCTTGTTGAAAACTTATCTCTTCATTCAAGTCTTCCCTAAATGAATGTTATGCACAAATGGTTTTATTTTCTTCTGTTTTTCATATTTAACATTTTATTACTGTATTTTAAAAATATAGAAATAACTGATTTAAGATACGGCTAAAGGGGAAGCAATATAGAAATCAGTTGAACAAATTAAATATAAGGCAGCTTTTCTAGGTTCTTGATAATCCCAGAATCCTTCAAGTTTTGAATTTGATTTACAGACTGCTCCTCCCTAATTTACAGCAAACCTTGCAGGGCCCATGAGAGAAGACACGTTTCTCTATTTCTTTATTTTCTATTGGTTGGCAACACTTTCCTCACGTTAAAAGTACTTAAACTCCATTTCTACCTTTCAGGAATGATTTCTTAGCATTTTTCCTTCCTAGCATTTTTTCTGCAAGTGCAGGGTCTGCTTTTTTTCAGATCATCAGAGTGCTGATACATTGGTTGTGACAGGATTTGATTAGCTGGCCTATAGGCCAGCCATGAACTGAGAAAGAGTGACTGGCCCAAAGTCTCCCAGCCAGCTTTCATGCCTGAAGCCAGGCCCAGAGTCCATAGTTTCCTGGCTTTTACCCGGGTGCCTACTGAACCAAACTGATTCTCAATAATTTATTACATGGGGGCCACCTTATTCCAAAACCAATTAATTGTCTTTCTAGGCAAGTGCTGGCAGATTCTTTTGCAATGGACTTTCCTGTCATGCTTCCTTAATTAGATTCAACTGATTATGTAAGGAGAAAACCTGGAACTTTCTTCCAGTTACAGTGTGTGCTTTGTCACTAATGTTATGGTTCTTCCTCTTTTTTTCTCTTCTGACTGGGTGCTCCTAATACATTGGCAAAAATGTATGGCTTATTTTTCACTTAATGAGAATATAGAATAACAGAGTTGGAAGGGACCTTCTAATCCAATCCCCCTACTCAAGCAGAAGACCCTATACCATTTCAGACAAATATCTGTCCAATTTCTTCGTAAAAATCTCCAGTGATTGAGCACCCACAACTTCTGGAGGCCAATTGTTCCACTGATTAATTGTTCTAATGTTCAGGAAATTTCTCTTTAGTTCTAAGGTTGCTTCTCTCCTTGATTAGTTTCCATCCATTGCTTCTTGTCCTGCCTTCAGGTGCTTTGGCGAATAGGTTGACCTCTTCTGAGATATTGGAACATTGCTATCATGTCACCTCTAGTTCTTCTCTTAATTAGGCTAGACATTGCAATAATAGCTTCTTTTGCTCACTCCAAAAGAAATGCTTATTTTTGTACTTTTGTTGTACTGTCTATTATTACTATTGCACTCTCAATGCAGGATATTTTGGATCAAGGAACAGGTTACAGCAACAGAGAGAGGCAATTAAATTTGAGGAAGTTGAGTTATGTCTCTTTGCAAGCATAGTTGCAGAACAATATAGAAACAGCAGAGTTATGTTGAATGCTTTAGAGAAAACTGGGGGAACCACTGAGGGAATTCATGTCATGAATTTGCTGTACAACATAAAAGAACTAAAATCTGTTCGTTATTTTCCTAGGCCCAGTTTACTTAAGAAGCATATATGTCTATGCCTGGTTTATGACAACAAAAATCCTACAAGAAGCTTCTTCAGAAATATATGCAGTCCTGGTTACATCAGAGTGAGATCTGTTAGTCTATTATAAAGTATACTTGACTAAGATATTCATAATGGAGACTTCATTTCCCAGAAGACAATGCATCAAAGACTTTATAAAAATTGTCTCCTTGTATTTCATTTTAATATGCCTTGTAGCTTTAGTTGATCCAACTGAAGACTATTACAGTTTACTTGGAATATCCAAAGAAGCAACAAGTAGAGAAATTAGGCAGGCTTTCAAAAAGTTGGCTCTAAAGTTGCATCCTGACAAGAACCAGGTAGGTAGGCTTGTCAGGAAATGTTTTCCTGTTAATTAAGAAATGTACATGCAAATGTTTAAATCTCTATCTTGTTATAATACGTGTTTCATGATTACTTGGTATAATTGTTTCAAAAGTACAGTGCTTTATGTTACACTTATACAATCTTGAGTTCTCTATATAATCAAAAGGGGAAATACCCATGAAACACTACAGTTCCAGAAGTTGTAGTCAAACCTATTTGATTATATAATCTACACCAGTGTTTCCCAACCTTGGCAAGTTTAAGATATGTGGACTTCAACTCCCAGAATTCCGCAACCACAGCATCTTAAAGTTGCCAAGGTTGAGAAACACTGATCTATACCTTCAGGGTAAATAATAATAGATCCATGAAATGTATGCAGCAAACTACAAAGATACATGATAAATGCCTTCTTTTTGTAATCAGAGCCCCAGTCAGCCATGAATAATAATAATCAGTCTGACACACACACTGCATGCATTTCTATAAAATGAGTAGCTTGTGTTCCTTTTGAAATAGGTCACACTTTGTACAGGATTACTGTGCAATGTGATATTTCTTACTTGAATTATGCACCCAACAATAGAATCTGTCTTAATGCTGTGGATGTAATAGCAGCATTCATTCTACTTCAAGCTCAGATCCAGAAAATGCTGGCCAATGAGGAGGAATAGGTTAGTTTCCTGCTTACCTCTCCTTAGAGAAGTTACCTCTATGATTTGCGAGCTATAGATAAATAAATGAAAAGGTTCAGAAAGAAGCAAAATTATACCAACATGTAGGAACTTAGAAGTCATATAATCAGCTGCTTATCATTTCTCATGCTACAGCTCACTCCACTTAAAAGATTCATCAGGCCATTCCCACCCCCACTGTAACGAAGTTGTGATATTGCTGATGAGGTGATGGTAATAGGCAAATTACCTTTTGCCTTATCATAGCCCGTCCTGCCTAGCTAGCACTTGTCAGAATCCTAGGTAATGTCTTCAGCTTCAGTTAGCAAAAATGTAATGAGCAGTTAAAAATTAATGCAATGCCAGTGTCAGAACGTTTTTGAAAATTGAAATGTACTGAGCAGATTTCAATATTTTTCTCAATATTTTAATTTAACACCAATACTCTTTTTTCCAGAACAATCCAGAGGCACATGAAAATTTCTTGAAAATAAACCGAGCATATGAAGTATTAAAAGATGAAGATCTGAGAAAGAAGTATGATAAATATGGTGAGAAAGGTCTAGAAGATCATCAGGAGGGAGGTCGCTATGAAAGCTGGCACTTTTACCGCTATGATTTTGGTAAGATACTTTCTTGTAGGAGAAACTGAATTGTTGCCTGCTATTTCCCTGTGGTCCATTTGTTTAAAAAAAAAAAAAAACTTTCGAAGGAAAATGTTGGCCGTAATCTGCACCTAAAAAGATGTAGGAATATTTAAGTCTTAATCAGGAGTATGGATATTGTGTGATAGCATATTATATATACTTGGCTTTTTTAATTACTTTGGGAATATGGCATTGACTATATTAAATTTATTTTGCCAACAGAGTTGTTAATGAGTTGCTTCATAGTATGTTCTCAGACTGCTTTCAGATTGACTAAAAGTCTCCATTTAAAATTGCTTCTTGGTATGGATGGCCAACTGGCAGTGCAATAGCCAGCCATACATACATAACACATTCTTTCTATTTGAGGTAATACAGAGCACAATGAATGAAAAGAAATTAAAGGAGGATCTAAGAAAAAAAAGAAAAAGTCAAAGTACATTTGGTTTATGCTGATACCACCCACTTTATAACTTCTTACTTTCTGTCTTTGCAAACTGTCCTTGCTTTTATTACATCCTTCTATTGCTTTGTATGTTGTCTGTTGCTTTTTAAACTTCTAACCTTTCTGAGGAATTCTATATTTACTCACAAGTTTCATAGTCTCCCCTTTCCCCTTAAACCCTTCCTTCATATATTGGTTTCACAATTCAGTTCTCATTCATTCTCTTTTTAGAGTTAAATCAACTCAGTGTGGTTCCTTTATACTGATTCTTTGATTTTGTGCTCTGCATTTATTACCCAGAATCATTGAGATCATTATTATTGTTGAGACTATATTTTCTTGTTTTACCATACACATTTCCTAAGTATCCTCTTCCTATTGCATGTAACTTGTTTTAATGTCTCTCCTGATACACACAATTCTCAATTATCTGCATCCTATAACAAAATGGACAGAGGCATTTTCACTTTCTCCACAAACGACATTCCTTGCACTGTAAATAGATTTCTGATACTGGGAAAGAATTGGGAGTGTTTCAAAACAATACTAATAATAAGTAGATGGATATTTCAATGTAAGTCTTATCTGGGGGAAAAGATAATTAGTCCTTTGGTCTCACATTCTGGATAAAAGAGGTTCAGGTGGGTCTCAGACACTGCCTTAATATACTCATGAATAAGTACTAGAGTTTTGGTTTCTTCATATTTCCAAGTTTTAGCCCTTTGCTTTTTGCCAATAAAGCAAAATAATGAGACTTACTATGAATCTTTCTTCATTGTTCTGTGCTGTTAAAAGCTTGACAGTGTTATGTGTGACAAAACTGAGCTATGAGACTCAGTTTCATTTAAGCAAAAGAATGAAAATGTACACACTGTATGTATGAATGAAATAAAGCTTCCCTGTTTTAAAGAGATGTATTATGGCCACTACTGATTGGTTTTTATGCTAAGATTTTGTTATTGTAAAATATTCTAGGATATGTCAGAAAAGTTGAAAGAAAATAACTACAAGAACCTAATGAGTCTTGCTATTCGTGGTTTAATGCGCTCTAAGGTATACATGAGCAAAGGAGTAATAATTGATTATTAGTATTTAAGTGTTATGTATCTGTGTTAAATGGACTTCTAAAAATGCTAACTGGCTACTTTTTTTTTTACCAGGTATCTATGATGATGATCCTGAAATCATAACATTAGATAGAGGAGAATTTGGTAAGTCGTTTGTGATTGTGTAGTTTCCTAACATTTCTACTTTCCAGTTTCTTTATTGTGTTATTTTTTATGACTTTTTTGCTGTTATTTTGCAGATAGCAGAATGTCATTCTGAATCCATGTGACATGGTGTCCAAAGATTGTTTTATTTACACCCTCATTTAGTGACTGCAGTTCTTAAATTTGAAGTTAAATAATCACTGAGTGAAATGGTCATTGAGCGAACGTGTGACTGTCAGGTTGACTAGGCAGGGATAAAGTAATAGTGATTGAGCTTTTGTCACTGAGCATGGACTTAAACATTGGTCTCCCTGCTTTTAGGTCAATACCTCATGTTCATACTTCATGCACTTATCCCTGTAATGCTGTTTTCATCCTACAGTAGACCTACTAATATTAATTCTTTCCCCTTGTTTCTGTTTTTTACCTTGCCAAATTAATATGGTATGCAGCTTAAATTGACTTTTAAGTGAGCATATATTCATGAGGTTAATAAATTGGCATGATGATTTGTAAGAAGTGGGATGCCAAAATATTCTCTGTTGCTGGGCAACTAGAATTGATATGGCAGGCATTTTCTGTATATTCTTTCCTTTGGTCCAGGATCTGTGCAGTTCCACTTTTAAAGAGCAAGGTTCCCTTCAACTTCTATTCAAAGGAGAAACTAAGGAAAGGAACTTCACTCCTCCATGGAGCTGGCTGAGTGTTCTTAATCATTTTTGTACCATTAATTTGAAACCTGTTCTTCAGGTTTCTTAATGCATACCAGAATAGTTAATTGAATTGTAGCAGGCTCTGCCAAATCCAGCATTTAGTTTTCAAAAGTACCCAGCTTTGGGGACTTCTAAGGAACGTCTAAAAATAAAGGCTCCACTCTCTTTATTATTTCTTACTAGTGTTTCTAATATAGCCTAACTTTTAGTGGAGGAGTTATGTTTTGCTGGTCTGGTCACCTTCAAATCTAATTAGCCATGTATCATGTGTTTTAAAGCAGGGATAGGAATCTAGTTGCTTCCCAACAAACAAGGAGAGTAATTGTGAATGATGGGAGTTGTTGTCCAGCTGGAACTTGCAAGTTTCCCTCTCATTTTAAGGTCTTTTAAAATATATATTGTAAGCATATTCTCCCCCCACCCCCCACCCCAATGATAATGGGATGCAGAGATATTTCAATCCAATTCTTTCCCCATATATATTATCCTTCAGTTCCCATCATCTCTAGATCAGCAGCATGTTGATTGGAAGACATGAAAGTCTTACCCTGCTGGAGGGCATTGGTTTAGGACAGGGGTAGGGAACCTTGTGGACTTCAACTCCCAGAATTCCTGAGTCAGCATGGCTGGTTCAGGAATTCTGGGTATTGAAGTCCACAAGTCATAAAAGAGCCAAGATTCCCTACCCCTGGTTTAGGAGAAGACTGGGATAATCTATTTGCTCCCACTTCCCCTCCCCTCCCCATTATGTCCAAATTCTTCAGTGGTAAAAATAAAGTTCTTCACCATTCTTCCTTTTTTTAATAGATGCTGCTATTGGTTCTGGAGAACTGTGGTTTGTAAATTTCTATTCTCCTCGATGTTCACATTGCCATGATTTAGCACCCACGGTAGGTTGCCACTGCAGGTGTATTGTCATTGAATTTATGTCCCAGTTGCTTCTTTTTTTGTGGATGGAATCCTAGGGGGCTGATTGAGCGGAAACATGAAGACTTTTGCTGCGGCATGAGAATAAGAAGAAGCTGCATCCTTCTAGCATAGACCAGGACTATATTTCAGCTATATAATGCTCCCCAGTTTGGTCCATGTGTAACCCTATTGTATGTTTTGGCAAGAGTGTAGGCAGTGCTTTGCAGTCTGCCACCATTTCTTCTCAAACAGTTCTGCTAAGAGTCAAATCAATTCTTTTCCCACTTTGACAGTATTTGAGAACATGTAGCAATATTGAATAAGAATAAGGAATGTGCTTGGTAGTGGTGATGTCATTATTCAGCTAACCTAATAATAAAAAGTTAAGTTTTTTTTGTAAACAATACTTGTAAACAATTGAGTTACAATTAAAGGAACAAGTATTATAATCACATTCTTTTAAGCATTTCCAAACTGGACTAAAAGGCTGAAAAATAATCCTTTCTTTTTTTTTCATTTGAAGTGGAGAGAATTTGCTAAAGAAATGGATGGATTAATACGCATTGGAGCCGTCAACTGTGGTGATAACAGAATGCTTTGTCGGAGTAAGGGAATCAATAGCTACCCCAGCCTCTACGTCTTCAAAAGTGGAATGGTAAATAGGCACAGAATCTAGCATTCCATTACATTCCATAGAGGAGCCTTTGAGGTAACTCCACTGCATTCAGGGATTTCTGGCAAGAAAAAAGTCTTTCCCATTTATTAGAGACTTGGGGGCCAGAGCTTGTCCTAGCTACATGGGGATATGTAACCTCAAGCCCAAACACTTGAATACTATTGCAAGAGGGTATCTCAACATTGAAAGGAAGATTGTTTCCCCCGGTAATTTGTTTCTTAAATGAGAAAGATGTCTTAGATTTTCTGAGAATATGCAGATTTTTTTTCTGTCCAGTTTTCATTGGTCTTAAATTTAGAATTGCCTTTTTTGAGGAAGTATGATAGAAGGCATTTGATGCTGAGAAGAAACTTGAAACAGTAGGCCTGTTCATACTTTGATTCTGAAAAGACTAAGGCGGTGCATGAAAGAGGTACAAGGTATCCTGCTCCCCAATTTTTTTTACAGTGTCTGTCCCCAGCCTTTCTGTTGAGCAGAGATGAAGAAGGATTCTCCTTACTTCCAGAAAATGGGAAGAAAAGCCCCTGCATAATCCAAAACCCCAAGCAGTTTTAACCCTGAATTTTTCCAATTGCAAGAAAGTGTCAAATCTTTAAGCGATAAATGGACAGGACCAGGGGTAGGCAACCTCGGTTCTTTCATGACTCATGGACTTCAACTCCCAGAATTCCTGAGTCAGTCATAAAAGAACTGAGGTTGCCTAACCCTGGGATAGACCATAGATTGTTGTTCTGTTCTCCTTAGGTGCAGCTAAATGGATAGAATATAGACCATAGATTGTTGTTCTGTTCTGCTTAAGTGCAGCTATTCATATTTTGTAGATCCTTTTAGTGTTTCAACTAGGGAAAAACTATAGCATTGATAAGGTAATAATGTTATGTATTCAATTTCTACTCCAGATTCCTCTTCTAAAGTCAAAAAAGTAACTTTCTGTAGCACAGATAAAGGATAAAAATAAGTTCCCAAGACTATTGCTTAATATGTGTGACCACATATTATTATTTTAAAATTGGATGCTTTTGCAAATCTTTTTTAGAATCCAGTGAAATTTTATGGTGACAGATCAAAGGAGAGTTTAACGAATTTTGCCATGCAGTATGTCACAAGCACAGTGACAGAACTATGGGCAGGTAAATATTTATTTTTGAATAAGTATTTATTTTCAAGTTGCATACGTTTTTCTTTTAGTATTTATTATTTTAAATCACCCAAAGCAGAGTCTTGGACAGTGAGTAGATAATAAATAAATAGTTCACTGTTGGATCAAATATAGTTGATATGTTTTAGCCAAAATATGTTTCTTTCATAAATTATAAAATATGTTTACAAAAAATATGATCTTCAAGTTACAACTAAATCATACTATGTAAGCCTTATGAATAAATACAACAATAGGTGCAAACTCCTAAATCCATTCTGCTCTTTTTTTCCCCTAGGAAATTTTGTTAATGCTGTTGAAACTGCATTTGCTTCTGATATTGGCTGGTTAATTACCTTTTGCACTGAACAAGGAGGTAAATATATGTTTGCTATCAAAGAATGGATGAGAGATTTTAATTCTTCTAACAGTCAAAAAACTTAAAATTGAAACTAAGCAGGAAAATATTTAGAATTGCTTCTAGGATAGAAATTTTTAAATTAGTTTTCAATAATATATTTTGAACTTCAAGAGGCAGGATTCTATCTGATAATTATAACCCTGCAGGAATAGGTTTTGCTTTTTAACAGGTCTTTTGAAAAGCTATTTTTAAAATCTCATCTTTGCATTGAGGATAAATTATTATTTTCTTTGCCCTTTCTTGTTAATTTTAGACCTTCTCTTATGATTGCAAATCTTATCTTTTCAGAGGGGTGGAGGTTATCAGCTCTTCCTCCTTCCCTGATTGGGCAGAAGCAACCCTGGTGTCAAACCAAAGCAGGGACCCAACACGGAATTCCAGACCCTCATGCTTCCCTGCGAAGCTTTGGGTGGTGTGTGTGTGTGTGTGTGTGTAAAATATTAAATGAGAAAAAATTGGACTACAATAGATTGCTAGAAAATGATTTAGATGCTTTGCTGCCTTGATTTAGTATGTTCTATATTTCAGTTGAGGGACATGAAGAAATCTTTCCTGACTATCTTTCATAGGTTTCAATGCCAAGTCTTGTATAATCTCTTTGTGTTGAGACTATACCTTAACAGTTTCCCCCAAACAATATTTAGTTGTGTAATGGTTTGAACATACATACAAATATGTAAATCAAGTGTGTGGACTTCAACTCCCAGAATTCCCCAGCCAGCGCTAACAGGCCAATTCTGGAAGTTGAAATCCACACATTTTTAAATGGCCAAGGTTGAGAAATCCTAGTGTAGATTAATATAAGCCTTTTTTTAAAAAGATGTTTACTCATTTTAATGTAATTTATCTAGATTGTTTGACTTCTCGAACACGCCTTAAACTGGCTGGCATGTTGGTAAGCATTTTTATTTTGTTTGTTTTTTTAAATATTAAATATGTCGGTGAAATTTGGCCCAAAGAAAAGGACTTCACCTTACTGACTTCAGTGGGAGAGAGCATAATACATACTAGAGTCCTCTATCTCGATGGAATTATTTTATAAATGAAGCATAAACTGGATGGCAAAGTATGCCTGCCATTCAAACAGATGTGTGATGTATCTCTTATTAGATTTCAGTTTTTCATTTTCTCTTGTTTTTCAATACAGGAAGGCCTGGTTAAAGTAGGCTGGATGGACTGTGCCACCCAGGGTGAGCTTTGTGATAGTTTGGATATCTCATCTAGCACAACAACGTATTTTCCACCTGGAGCCACATTAACTAATAAAGAGAAAGGAGGTGTTTTGGTATGAGTTTTACCATTGGTTTGCCTTTGTGTACACTGAGTAGTTGGTGTTGGTGGAGGTGGTGAAGGAACAAGTATCTTAGTACTTTTTTCTTCCTATTTTTTGCTTATGCTCAGTTGATACTGGTTCATTTAAGTGTTTGGGTATTTTTGACATTCCAGAGAAAGAGTAAAGTTTGTGTGTTGGAGAACATCTGTACTTTAGGTCAGTCTTCTCCAATCTGTCACCCTTGAAATATGGTGTTCTAAACTACCCTAATCCCCAGGCAGCATTGTCCATGATCTTGCTAGCTGGGCTGCTCAGATTTCTTATCCATCATACCTGGAGGGTATCGGTTGGAGCCCTGGTGGCGCATTGGTTAGAATGCAGTATTGCAGGCTAACTGCCCACTGTCAGGAGTTCGATCCTGGCCAACTCAAGGTTGACTCAGCCTTCCATGTTTCTGAGGTCGGTAAAATGAGGACCCAGATTTTTGGGGGCAATATGCTGACATTATAAACCACCCACAGTGCTGCAAAACACTATGGGATGGTATATAAGACTAAGCGCTATTGCTATTATATCTTTAGAGAGCATATAACTGTACTAATTCCGCTGCCTTATATCATGTAAGCATTCTTTTAATTGTCCTGAAGATACTAAAGTGCCCAGTGCTTAACTTCACCACTTTATTCTATTTATTGTATTGTATTTATTGTATTCTTTTTCTAATGTTGGACAAAATATAAATATTTAGGATAATTAATATTGGTAGATACTGAGTAAATTTGATGAAGTGGTTAAGGCATCAGGCTAGAAATCAGAAGACCGTGAGTTCTAGTTCTCCTTAGGCACAAAACCAATTGGGTAATCTTGGATCAGTCTTTCTCTCAGCCCTAGGAAGGAGACAGTGGCAAACCACTGAAAAATAAACATTTTTTCCCTCTGGAATTCCTTCTGTGTATTCTGACATTTTGATAGGATCTAAGTAAGGGTGGAAAGCAGCACATAGTGAAAAAAGTTGTCTCATTTCTACAGCTCTCTTTAACACCGGATCATTTCAGGAAGACTGAATGTTTTTAAAGAATGAGAAGATATCAGAAGTGGCAGTAAAAGGCTTCTGGTTTGCCATTGCAGTGCTGGCGGACGCATGGAGGCGAGCTCCGTCTTCAGCGTCCAGTTTTATCTGCTGGGGGACGCTGGAAAGGGTCGAAAGTCGCCCTGTAGGGGTGACGAGCAAGGAGAGAACCCCTGTTTGATCGCGGAAGGGCAATAGCCCTTCTGCTTGATCCGGGGCAATTTTCCAAACCGGCGGGGAAAAGACCGGCCATAGCAATACGGTTCGTCATTAAGCTGCCATAGCAATACGGTTCGTCATTAAGTTTTGACAACCGAAGTCAAAACTACAACCAAGCACCTTTAAAGCAACGCAGATGAAACTGGATGAGATCTGATCTTCTCTTTGAGACTTTAAATACATTGATGTATATAAGATTGAATGTAAACACAATTAAGATATGTATAAGTTCAAAATTATTGATAAATGTAACAAAGATGGTTTTACTTAGTTGATAACAATAAGAACTACATTAATTCAATATGAGATAGTAGATATTAAGTGATAAAGAGAAATATCTGATGTTGTAACTTGAGATATGTGTTAAAGATTTATGTATGTTATGGAATCACTGATTACCCAGTCACCACATTGCTTTTTAAATGTTTAATTGTAAAATTAGAAAATCAATAAAATATTATATAAAAAAAGAAGTGGCAGTAAACATAAGCTATGCAAAGAAATTACACTTTTTATTCTTACTATTACCTTTTTTTCCCTGCATCTTGCCTATTTGAGAGTATAGAAATGGCTCCTGAAATGCCTTAGAAATTACTGAAACATTATTGTGAACAATTAAATTACGGTAAATAAAATACCTACTGCACAGTTGAATAACATTTATATGATGATTTCCACTCTTTTCAGTACGTGAACTCCTTAGATGCAAGAGAAATATATTTGGAAGTCATGAAGCACCTTCCAGACTTTGATACAATCCTGGCATCTACTTTACAGGTAAAAATTTTAACTCTCAAATGATCCGTCTTCATTGCAACACGTATATTCTTTTTGTTCTCTAGATCCTCATTTTTCCCTAATATGTCATACCAATCCTCTTTTCTCACATCTGGGCCATGTTTCCTTTTAAACTGTAGAGCAGGCCTGTACATCATGAGGCCTTGTGCGGCCCACTGGCATTTGTAAACAAATCAGTAAATTCACTGCCACCAAATGTTACCACTGCCAGGAAGTCTCTGCCCCCATCCTCCTGAAACACAGACTGCTGAGACTCTCACATGTCTCCAGGCTTTACCAAAGCTGCCAACTCCGTTGTTGCCATCAGTATGGCCCGTTCCATCTACCAAATCTGCAGGCCTTCTCCTGAGGTTTAGTGATAGCCCTGGGTTTACACCTGGCTTAACTCAAGATGTAAGATGCAGGGGAGAAAATAAAAGAATCTGTTTTGGTTGGGAAGCTCAAACTCTGCCGTTAAGAATGAAAAGTCAAATAATATGACTGTTCATATTATTGGTGAATTTATTTAATTTGCTGTGACGGTATATTTGATACAACATAATGCACAAGCACATTCACCCATGCATATGTTTGGGTTCATAGAAATAGACATTTCAAAGAAACTTTCATAGAATTGCATTGTGAGTTAAAAAGAAATACATATTTATAGTTATTCAGTGGGAGAAAGCATGCATATAATAAATAATATGTGGAGCCACGGATAACCTGACATATTATACGCCTGGGAAAAATCAGCTAATCTATTTGATCTCTTTTTCTGTTCTCTATTTAATATGTTTTTCCTTCAAAAAGCCTGAGTTGTTTTTCCTTGCCTTTTCTCTTTTGCAAGGATCACGTGGCCCATCATCGATGGTTAATATTCTTTCAGTTTGGCAAAAACAGCAAGTCAGATGCCCATGACCTTAAGAAGTTAAGTGTTCTCCTTAAAGCTGAAAATATTCAAGTAAGTACCGATATGTGAAACTCAATAATCTTTGGTTTAAAGAGACAATATTAGTTTATGTAGTGCCCTTTTCTTCCATTAATTCTTCAAACCCTGGTCATTTTGAAGCTTCCTGCTACTTTGTTTTAGTCCCTTGCTTTCCACATTCATCTGGGCACCCCTGCACTTTTCTTAAAAATGTATCATTGACTTGGGAAGACTGATTAAACATTTTTTTCCTAGACTGACATCCGCAGCTATTTGTTCTTTCATTAAGGATTTAGAGCATGCGCTAAGTCAGCATCTAAAATAATAGTCTTTCCCCTTTCAAGTTGGGATTGATTTGGAAGCACACACCAATAATGTTAGAAAGCTCTGGGTGTTTCTTTTCTCCTATAATGGAAAATATAATGAAGTTGCAAGGTAGTCTCAAGATTTGAGATTCTAACTTGCATAGAACAGTGTGAGCATGCTTGGGGTAAAACTAGGCTTTGATTGCATTTAAGGTCCATTGGCTAAAATATGCCAAAACTGACCAATGCTCTCATTAGCAAAGAAAGATCATTTCTTACTCAACAAAGATCTTGAAAAAAAAATGGACAAAAAAGAAAAGGAAACAAGTTTTAAAAATGAGAGTGAAAGTAGAATGTTTATTTTGTGGAAGGTTTGCCTTCAACTTATAACTGTTTCTTTCACAGGTTGGGAAGTTTGACTGTCTTACTGCTGCTAATATTTGTAACAGTCTGTATGTTTATGAACCGTGTGTAGTGGTCTTTAAAGGACGTGGAATGGATAACTATGAAATTCACCATGGTAAACAATTTTTATATAGAAGATTTACAACATTTATAACTGGGATAGGCAATTTAGTTTTTTACAAATACATTTAACTGCAGCTTCACAGTTCCTTCCCATTGACATTCAAGTTAGAATCAATTGGAATTGAAGTACAAAATGAGTAGATAGCTTCTTTCTGATTCATTATGTTGTGGTACTTGATGCCCTTTCTTTAGGGAAGAGTTGGATTGTCTGCTAGCCGTACATGCCCCCCCCCCCCAGCTCTCCTTTTGGAACACTCACTGAAATCCTCCATGAAGTTGCTGAGGACATAATATTAAGATTTGTTTTCCCATTTTCAGGATTCTGGGGTCACAAAAAGGTTATGCTGTTAACAACTTGTGCAGATTAAGGCATACCCTGCACCCCTTAGCCTCACCCCCAAACCTCAGATTTATTCTTTATTAGCGAATGACACAGCCCCATACATACACATAAACAGTTGGAAAAGGGCCAACATTTTTGGTCTATACATTCTGATATTAAAATGTGGTATGTAGAAAAGAAAAATGGCTTCCAAATCAAAAGGTTTGCCCACTCTAGCCACAGTGGGAAAGTAAAAATCTCCATGTACCAAATGTCATATTTAAGGTATATATAAAAAGCAATCTTGGATACTGCTATTGTTAAGCAAAGAAATGACTAGGAGAGTTTTCAGCTTTTTCTGTATTGATCATTTTTCCATTCTGAATTGTCTCCTCCCTCCTTTGCTTTCATCTTCTAAATTGCTTGCTTTAACATAGCTTGGAAAATAATTTGAGATATATGTCACCCTTTGGATGAGAAAATGGCCAACTGAATTTAAGCAATCTTTTTATTTTGCTTGTTTTACTCCTTTGTTCAAGATGATAGCTTTCTAGGACTGTTTTTCATTTGGTGTGCAAGATGGGATACATTTAATAGGTATTTCTTAGATTAATCGTAAATTGATTTGGCTCTGATCGATTTAACACAGTGCCTAGTTTGTCCCTGTACTGGAGTTCTCTTGATTTTGCTCTCAGTTCACCAGAAAGAGAATTGATTTTATGTTTGCTACTTTAAGTAAAAAATTTGGATGCTGTAGAATTCAGGGATGATTATTCCATAAGACTGTTTGGAATTAAGCTCAGGGTGATTGAAAGAGGCCTTCTCACAATACTGGATCATTAATCTCTGGTAGCTTGCCTTAACTAGCTGTCTGTTGGAGGTGCTGGTTTATATTGCTGATGAAGTTGCAGTCTAAAACATAGTTCTATTAGATTGACTTTTAACATTCTTGTAGTTTCTTTCATTAGGAGTGTTATATTTGTTATGACATCTTAAAAACTAAACTCCATTTTGGGAAGTAATGATCTTGCAAACTTGATTAATCCTCCTCAGAACACATGTTCTTTTTCTTTTATTTTAATCTTTCTTTCTCATCTTGACCTGTCTTTTGCTGAACCAAGACTAGGTGGCTGTCTACACCACAACTCTATTTTTGTTTCCTTTTAAAGGGAAAAATATTCTGTATGATTTAGTGGCCTTTGCCAAGGAGAGTGTGAATTCCCACGTCATTACACTTGGACCTCAAAATTTTCCTGGCAAGGAGAAAGAACCATGGCTCGTTGATTTTTTTGCACCTGTAAGTATTTCATCAAGGACCAATTTTCTGTGGTAGTTAAGTAACCAAGATAGTAGTAGTAGTAGTAGTAGTAACAACAACAACAACAACAACTTTGTCACTTTGAATTGGCATACATCAAAATGAAATTTTGTTGAATACAGCTCTCAAAGGGTCAGCACCTCTGATATACACTCCTTGTTCGTGGCCAGTTCAAGTTTCAGAACGTCCATTTTAGTCTCTAGGGAGTGAACGATGGCAAACAGGACAGATGGAAACAAAGCTCCATGTGGATTAGCTCTCAAATTAGCTTGTATTCCTGCACAACAACCTTGCCGCCTTTTCTTTTTCTGATCCTGTCTCTTCTACCTTTTTCTTAAAGGGGCCTCACTCCTTTTTGCCCCTGGAGCACGCTGCCGCCTCCAACTCCTCCCAAAGCCTCTCTCCCTTCCTTGGGCCTGCCGACAGCCTCATCCAGTTCCTTCGCTCCATAAGCCCCGGGGCCTCTCCTCCTCTTCCTCCTTCGGAAACAGCCCTGATTTGTCATGCCAGCAGTCAAATCTTGCTGCTTGCAGAACAATTTCAAACAGCGCAAACGGTCTCACTAACAGTTCCAAAACAGCTAAAAGCAAAGATTGTCAGTCAAGTGTTAGCTTAGTCCCACCACGTTGCTCAAACACATTAAAACCTTCCCGATCATGTGGCTTATATCCCTCGAAAAACTTTTCACTTTCGAGAGCCAATGCAGCTGCAGCCAATCCAGGCGCCGCCATCTTAGTAGACTCTAGGACACTGTGAGTTCTAGAGTGACCTTGGGCAAGGTATTCTCTCTCAGCCCTAGAGAGAAGGCAATCTTCTCATAAAAACTGCAAGAATATATCCAGCTAGTCATGACTGACTTAAAGGCATGCACACAAAAAATCATTTCATCATACTTTTGTGTAGTTAGTGCAGGGTCACATGTTGAGTTGAGTAATAGAAGTACTTGGTAAATTCATCCTTAAAGAACTAAGCCCAGAGAGACTTGTATTTCTCCCAGTTAAACTCTTAAGGAACATACGTATGAATAGGCAATTACCAACAACAATTGGTCAAAAAGAACCCAAAAATGTAATGCTCTAGTACAGGCATAGTCAATCTTGGCTCTTTTATGACTCGTGGACTTCAACTCCCAGAATTCCTGAGCCAGCTCAGGTGGCTCAGGAATTCTGGGAGTTGAAGTCCACGAGTCATAAAAGAGCCAAGGTTGACTACCCCTGCTCTAGTAACTGGGGAGATGTTGATTTTTTTTTCATTCTCTCTTTGATATTAGTGGTGTCCTCCTTGTCGGGCTTTATTGCCAGAACTGAGGAAAGCATCAAAGCATTTGTATGGCCAACTAAAGTTTGGGACATTGGATTGTACGGTTCATGAAGGAATTTGCAATTTGGTAAGTTGCAAATAAGATTACTGGCATACACTTACACTGGCATACACTTACACATATTAACATAATCGTATTGTGGTGGGGGAAAGGGGAAATTACATCTTTTTTTTAGTTAAAGCCTCTATATGAAAGACAGTCTTTTATACATACACTTGCATGGGTGCACAAACAGACACACTAATTCTTTGAGGATCTTAACAGCGTTTAAACTTTATGAACCTTAAACCTTGAAAATAAAGAATAAAGTGCATAGAAAGGCAGAATAATTTTTCTGATTTTTAAAGAATTAGAACTGTATAAATGAGCTGAATATCCAGATAACAGATTTCTGTGGAAAAATCTCTTGGTTATTTACTGTTAAAAACTCAGAGTTTGAGTCTTAATAATCAGGAAAAATACTTATTTCCTTAAGTTAAATTCTGCTTTTTTAAAAAAAAAAGTTCAAAGCACTTCTCAGAAGTTAAAATCATGATTTTTTAATTACAGTGTGTAACTTTGACCCTGTAGTCTTATCCATGTTTGTTGGGACTTAAATATATGCATATAAAACTTTTTTTAAAACCTGGGTAATATTTATGTGGTGTTTATGTGGTGTTTTGTTCACTTCTGGTTTTTTTAAATAAATGATTGCAGTGATATAGGATATGGGTACTTTGATTTACTTTTCAGAAGAAAGGGCCTGCCAGAGTACTGAATGGCATAGCTCCTGCCATTTTTCAAGATCTTTTACTTCATGATTTTTTATAGCACAACATTAGAGCTTATCCAACCACTGTGGTATTCAATCAGTCTCACACACATGAGTATGAAGGACATCACTCAGCTGAACAGATCTTGGAGTTTATTGAGGTAATTATTTATTTATTAACATTTTCTACCACATTGCAATCCGACAGGAGTCTCAGCAGCTTTATCAGAAAGCAAATATAATTAGAACATCTATGGTCCAGTTAGCATCATACAAAACCTGAAGTACTGTATACAAACCAGACACAATTCAAGGGTGGGTTAGACTCTTTGGCCTGTAAGATATGCATCAAAAAATAGCAATTTTTAAAGCATTTTGAATTAAGATTTGGTGGAACATTCAAAATATGGTATAGGGTTTCCTGCCTGAGCAGGGGGTTGGACTAGATGACCTTCAAGGTCCCTTCCAACTTTACTATTATTATTATTATTATTTTTAAGAAAAAGATAAAGTTTAAACCACAGATATTTTTATTGGGCATTTTGGAAGATTTGGATGTAAAAGAAATGGAGTTGATGTTAAATCTTATAACGGCTGCAAGATTGTTAATTGCTCAGCATTGGAAAATGAAAAGTTTACCTACTATAGAAGATTGGGTAGTTAAAGTCTCAAATTTAGCTGAAATGGCCAAGATTTCCGCTTATGTGAAGGATTATTCACAAGAAAGATATATATTGGTTTGGAGAAGATGGATTGTTTATATTGAGTTGAAATATGGAACAAAAAAATATCATTTGGTTTTTGATTGAACTTCTGATTTTTAATATTTAAAAATATGTTAAAAGGATGGTATTTAATAATTGTATATTTGTTTTAAAAGAGAGTTAAAGGAAGTTATAGATTTGTTAGACTAATAGTTGATTAATGTTAGTTAGATTATGATTATTTTATTGTTAATCCTGTGATTGGCTCTGGGAATTGAGGGGGGGAGGGAGGGAGGGTTGGGTTTGGGGGGGAGGGGGGATTTATATTGTAAAACTTTATAAAATTTTCAATTAAAAAAAATAGCAATTTATTTTGATCATAAATTTATTTAACGAAACTTTTATATTTAAAAAAATGTTGCAGATGTTGCCATGGCATATATTACAGTATTACATTTAGTAAATAACTTAATTTAAAACAATCAAAATATAAATAATCACAAGGTAATAAACACTTACAAGGAAGGAAATGTAAACTGTATAACACCAATTTTTCCAATTTTAAACCTTGGTATAGTCATGAGAAGCCCTGCCTATCCCCAGAGGCAGTGTTGCCTAGCACCGTTTGGTATGGTTGGAGAGGGTTGATACATTTGAAAAGGAATTTCATTAAAACTTTTCCATTCTGTGTTTCAGGATCTTATGAATCCATCAGTGATGTCTCTAACACCAGATACCTTCACTGAGCTAGTGAAGAAAAGGAAGAATAACGAAATCTGGATGGTTGATTTTTATGCTCCGTGGTGTGGTCCTTGCCAAGCTTTAATGCCAGAATGGAAGAAAATGGCAAGGGTAAAAGCAAATATTGCTCATTTTTAGTTGTCTTAGGGTGTATACAGCGGGGTTTTTTTTTTCAAAATACCATCTGTGGAAACTCCCAGTGTTCCATAACATTTATGTTTAATTTTAATATAGTTTGTCTATTGGTAAAAGACCTGTGGTAAAAGACCTCATGTCCTGTCCCAGGGCAAGCATACACAACCACCTAGAGAGATGGTTGCAAACTTTAGTGATTGATACATCTGTGAAACAAATAAACAAGAGGAAAGGGAAATGTGAGTGCAGCTGCACGTATGTCCACAGCAGAGGAAACAAGTCCCCAAAAGCTTGCCCTAAAGAAAGTTCTAGTCCAAAAGAGCAGGTACGAGAGTGGTCAAATGAAACCCAAGGGTTGTAGAAGGTTCATCAGCTGATCCAGGTCCAAGCTCAAAAACAGAAGACCTAGTCCAACCCCCTACTCAAGCAGAAGACCCTATTACCATATCAGACAAGTAGTTGTCCAGTCTCTTCTTAAAAGCTTCCTGTGATGGAGTGCCCACAAGCCTTTCCATTCAAGTTGGGAGTCAAGGCCCACATAGTCAGAGTAAATAAAAAAATGTTGCCAACAGAGAGGCCTGAGCATGCTGCTCCTCTTAAATAAAAGCAATCTCAGCGTGGCACATTTGGAAGGGTGATGTTCCTTTCTCTACTCTGCTGTCCACATGGCGAGCCCTGGCACTGGAGGGGGAAATGACGGTAGCCCAGGGTCCTGATCTTCAGATACCAGCGGCAGCTATGCCTGCTGGTTTTGCCATACAGCCATACTTCTTCTGAGACTCCTCAGGCAGCAGTTAGTCCAGCAACACTGGAACTGGCCGGTCATTGTTAGTTTCCTCATCTGAGTTTAAGCTTGCCACGACAACTACTGACTTAGTCCATTCAATATTTTCCTCCCTTTCTGTCATAAAAAATAGGCAGAAAAGGTAGTGTACTTGAACATAAGCAGGGTCCAGGTTACCTGCTTGCCCCTACGAATTGCATTTTTGTAGCTGATACTGATATTCCAAAGCAACCATTTCCATAGTTTGAATTCATTGGAATAGTGCAACAGATTTTTAAATGCAGTGAAAATAGACATTAAATAGGGTTATGCTTTTCTTTTGACATTATTTGAGATTCCATATCTGATTTATGGCTCTGGTCTGTTTAAATTCCTGAGTTATTTTGAATAATGCATTGCTATTCATGGCATAGCATGTCAGAGAAAAGAAATCAACAAAAAGAACATTAACTTATGCAAACACAAGAGAAATGACAACTTCTTGGCTCCTTGACTACAATTGCAAAATGTTGTCTTTGGGAAAAGGAAGATGCTTCAAAGAAACATCTCCAAATTGCTTTTTCCTTTAGCTTTCTTTCAAGCAATTTGGGATGAGATACTCACTGGAGAAACTTAGGTAGATGAACATCAGCTAAGGTTCATCTGATTACTAAAAGCTTGGTTTACTGCCATAACCATTATACACATATAAAAACTCCAATTCACCACCTAGGTCAGTGGTGGCGAACCTATGGCACGCATGCCAGAGGCGGCACTCGGAGCCCTCTCTGTGGGCACACATGCCGTTGCCCCAGTCCCGCCTTCCCCCATGGCCCCCTCCTCACCAGCAGCCCCCCTGGAGGAGAGTCGCCCCCAGGCACAGCCCGCATGGAGCAGTGCAGCCAAGGACATAGCCGGGCAGCAGGGACAAGATTCCACCCTCATGCCCCATAGCATGCAGATGATGCTGAGGGGTGTGGGTGGAGGGCGTGGCTGCAATGGCGCTGCAGAGCTACCTGGGCGATCTGCGGCGGGCCATGGAGGTGGTGCGTGGCCCTGTGAGTGGGGGTGGAGCAGGCAGGGCGGGAGGCGGAGCGGGGACAGGGGGCGGTTTTGGGGTACTCGGTCTCTAAAAGGTTTGCCATCACTGACCTAGGTATAGGCTCATGTAGTTCAAAGGCTTTTTATTTTGGAAAAAAGCAGAGGAGTGTGCATTCTTTCCTTTTATAACCAGTGTGGTGTCTTAACCGAAATCCATGCAAAAATAAAGAAAGTCTGGTGGTCTTTTCTAACTTGTGTCTAATTGGGGCATTAATAAGCATGGCGGCTACTTTTTTTGTTTTCATCTCTTACTCTGCCTATGAGTGAGATAATCTTAAATTGTCCTTAGTTGTTCTGGTGTTAAAGTGGTATTTTTCCACTTATTCTGACACTGCCAAAGAACAGCCTCAAACTGTATAAAAGTATACTTTCTTGCTAACTCAAGTCATGGTTATTTGCCTGTGGAGAATCTGTTAGCAAACTCTACAGATGATAAGCTATTGAATAAGGTAGATTTTCTTTAAAAATATATTTAATTTTTTATTGCAGTTATGTTTGGATGGTTTATTGGAGCAATTTTTACAACTCGACTAGAATAATCCAATCCTTTGTTTTAGTTGCTGAATGGACTGATTGTAGTTGGTAGTGTGGACTGCCAAAAACATTTTTCCCTGTGTCATCAAGAAAATATTCAAGGCTACCCTGAAATAAGGCTGTTCCCACAAAAATCAGCTTCATCTTATCAGTACTAGTGAGTAATGCAGTTGCTCCTATTGCAGTCTAAATTCGTGCAAAAATGCTTTAGTTAAAAATGCTTGTATGTGTGGTGTATTTTGAAGATCTGAGCAGGTTTTATTTGTCTAGATGGGGAAAATAATGATGGTCTAATATAAAATTCAGTGATTTGGATTAAACCCTATTCATTACAATTGTGTAGTACTTCATAACTGAAGGCATATTAGTAATTTGGCATAGCTGGAAAGGCAAATATAGCAGCTGCTTGCAACTCCTTACATCATTGCATTTTTTTCCAGGATTGCACAGCAGCTGCAGAAGACCACACAATCCAGGGGAAGTGTACAACTGCTTTAAAGAGTTGAATATAGGTGCTACATTTGCACCTTACATAATCCAAAATATCTTTTTTTTTGTTTCCGAGCTGTTGTTCAACATTTGTACAATAGGATCTGTAACACTTTGATCACTCTCTTTTGAAATATTTATCAAAAAGCAAGTGTATAATATGACTGACTAAACTAAATGAGCACAGTGACATAGGTACCCTAGTGTAGTACTTTGTTCTTCTTTGGAATGAATCTCTTTTCTGTAATATTTTTATTATTCAGTTGTATTTAACTACTCATTTATGGAATTCCTGCCCTTGAGATGTGGTGACAGAATCTAGTGTAAGGACTTTAAAAACTGTTTAAACAAATTGAGGTGAAATAGATCCTAATAGAACCTATTAGGGATGACTGCTATATGAAATGCCAGATGAGGGCACACTATCCTTCTAAATGACTGATGGCTTGCAGGCTTCTTAAGACTGTTTGACCAATGGACGGACAGAGAACTACTGAATCAGACTTAGCACAGTTGCACTTGTAGTATATTCTTAGTATTCATACATTTTAATAAAAGGATGCTCATCATTTCGGAATCTGTGACATTAAATTGTCCTTGTCACAATTTCTTCTGTGGAAAAAAACTTGAGGAAAATCTTGAGACTATAGAGTGCTTATTTAAGGAAAAATGTATTAGTTAGATTTGGGATAAGGATATTTTTATGTAGCTCTTCTCAAAACTGAATATTTTAGTAGAAGGGTAACTGTTTTTTTTTATACCTATCAACAGTAGCTACAATGGCTGGCATCGAGATGCCTATTCATTGCGAAAATGGGCGCTTGGGTGAGTTGCTTACCTCTACCTTGGTTCACAACTTGATCAAACTTTTTTTTGTTTGCTTTAAAAATCAATTTGCCTGATGAAGAATTCTTAGAAATGTGGAAGCTTATAGCAACAGTTATCGCAATGCTTTTCATGCCATATTGTAGGCAAGTGTATAATGCAAGAGTGTCAAACTCGCAACATCACGTGACGTGTTGCGACGTATCGCAACTTTTTTTCCATTGCCGGCAATGGGGTGGGCGCGGTTTCGCCATGATGCATCTGGCCCACAGGCCGGCAGTTTGACACTCCTGGTATAATGCACCTTCTAAAACCGGAAATTCCCTTTGGTGAATAAATTTTTGGAGTTGATTCACCATTTAAAGTGTTAAGAGATGTTCAAGATTTTATTATTAAGATCCCAGGTGAAATTAACCAAAGGAAATTCTTCACTCAAATAAAGTAAAATGTTATTTTTTTCTGAAACTCGGGCTGATCAGTATTTCAGTAGGTGCTCTTCATCTTGGATGATGATGAATGGGCAGTCAAAATCAACTCTCATGATTCTCTGCTTTTAAGAATATTGAGTTGTTTGTTGCAGTCGGAGATTCTCTGAACTCCTTCACATGAAGGCATTAACTTCATTGTTGATTTCACTGGAATCCTATGGTTCTTCTGTTTGTTTAGTTATCTGCCTCAAGTGTCTCTGGATCTGACACCTCAGAGCTTCAGTGATAAAGTTCTGAATGGGAAAGAGCATTGGGTCATCGACTTCTATGCCCCTTGGTGTGGCCCTTGCCAAAATTTTGCTCCAGAGTTTGAGATACTAGCAAAGGTAAATTCTTATGGTTTTCCAGCATCAGAAAATATTTGTTCAATTGAATTTACTTGATATATTCCCCAAATGAGTTCCCAACCAGGATATCTAGCATTTTAACATGTAGATTATTTTTCTCATTCAAATACTGTCTCCAGCAGAAGCAAATATATGTAGCTCAGGGTTGAACTGTGGAGTTGTTGATGCTCTCTGAGCTTAGTTATTTGCTTGCAGTCGTTTCCTTACTTAACTAGGTAATATAGGAGTGAGCAACATCACTGGTGAGCACCATCACCAATGCTCCTGACATCGCAGTGGGTGCTCCCAATATCACAATGAACACCTAGATAAAGTCAGTCTAGCTAAGAGCATTAGTGAGCACCAAGGACTTCAAATATAGTCTCTCAAAAGTTGGGAGTGACTGTTGAAGGAAAACAGTAAAAGGTTTACGTCAGAAATAGAAATGTTGACAGTATACTTAATCTAAGCATAGCTCTTTTCTGGCAGATAAATTCTCTATTATCATCCGGAAAAAATAATGGCGAACTTCATTGGCTTATTTGGTTTGGTGGTTAAGATGCTGGCTTAGAAACCAGAAGACTGTCACTTCTAGGCCTTCCTTAAAAGCTGGTTTGGTGGTTTTGGACCAGTCACTCTCTCAGCCCCACTACCCTCACAGGATTGTTGGGAGGAGTATAGGAGGCAGGAGTATGAGTTATTTTTGTCGCTTTGAGTTGCTGTATTTATGTGCAGATAAGCCAAGATCAGCTTATCTGTGAATAGGTATAGCCATAGGTATATATGGTATTTATAAAAAGGTGGGATAAAAAGAGGAGAAGGAGACGACCACGAGCAGGGATAGCTCGTGGGGCACAAAGTGTCTGAACCTGAACTTTGAAAATCAGTTTCAGTTGCCCAAGCACATGAGAGTGGCTTTCTCACAGGAATTCACTGTATAATAGATAGTTCAAAGGCTGCTTTCCCAGGATCTGCTCAGTTGATTTATGTCCCTGTTAGTAATGCCAGAACTACTTTATCATTCCAAACAAACAAATCCTCTTATGGCAAATCCTCCAGGGAGGAATGTACTACATTCTGGGGTGGGATGGGGGTTCTCTCCTTTCCTTGAAACAGCCTAAAAAGTTGAAAATGACTGAACCAAAATCCATTGATTTTGAAGCTTTTGAGAATTGATTAGTTAGGAAATCAGTTATTTGGGATGACAGAAGCATTAACTACGCAGAGGTATGAGACTGGAGTGTTATAAAAGCTTGAATGAATGAATGAATGAATGACAAGGTAACTGCTTCCACCTAATTGCTTAGTAGTAAAACTAATTGTTAAGCCAATGGACTTTAACATGCAGCTCCTTTTCTTTTTTCCCCGTTTTAAAAGACTGTTAAAGGAAAAGTGAAAGCTGGCAAAGTTGACTGCCAAGCCTATGCTCATACGTGTCAATCTGCTGGCATCAGAGCCTATCCCACAGTTAAATTTTATCCTTATCAAGGAACAAAGGTAAGCCATCTACATCAGCAAGGAGTAGATTAGAATATTTGAGGGTTAACGCCTGTGCCACCTTGCCATAGTCACTCTTTTATGAAAGCCTGCAGGAAAGCCCCCCGGCCAGTGTAGACATGTGGCACTAGATGCTTGGTTCTTAATAAACCATGGTTTGCCAAGTTATATATATAGGATGGGCATTTACAAGTGTTTTTACAAAATACATATGTATAGATTAATTTCTGTTCCAAAAGAATTTTCCTGTGTTATTTTAGAAATGCGTCCAATAAAATGTACCCGGTCATATGAAGAGCCCCACTCACTGATTATAAGCCCACCTTTTAAGTACTGAAAGCCAAAAAGAAGTTGGGGGGGGGTTCTTACTCCTGACCTCTCAATATTAAGCTATTCCTTATTTATATGTATCACTTTGTTCTGCCAAAGACAACAGTATCAAGCCTACATATTCATTACCTCCTTAAGCAACCCAAGCATTATTATTAAACCACCTGTAAATCAGTTTGTTCCTTCTGTATGCATGTATATTTTGAGCAGAGCTGATCATTCTTTCTTCTCTGTTTTCAAAGAAAAATATTTTGGGAGAGCAGATTGACAGCCATGAAGCAAAAGTCATTGCCGAACTACTGATGGAGAAAGTGGAAAGCCTTAAAAAAAAGAAAAAAAAACAATCTTCCAGAAAAAAGGTAGATACTTTTTCAGAAACATACTTTAATGTTATTATCTTGTACCATCAGTATCTTTGAAATTATCAGAGCTGCCACATTTGGCCTGCAAAAAAATCAGTGTGATCATTAGATGTCAACAAAGAGATTTTCCTGAATATTTACATATTCATCAATATTAATGTGCTTGAAAAACTTGCTCCTGAAGGTTCAATTACTTTTCTGAATATTTGATCAGACCACTGAAATGTGGGTGTCCCATCTTATTGGATAATTTATTTATTTATTATTTATTTATTTAATTACATTTGTATCCCGCCCTTCTCCTTGCGGACTCAGGGCGGCTGACAATGATTAAAATACTAACATATACATCTAATTAAAAATTGATTAAAAAGAAATATTTAGATACGTCAAATTTAAAAGTAATTAAAAGTAATTAAAGTAATTAAAAGTAATTAAAAGTAATTAAAACCCCTTTAAAATCCCTTAGGCCAGTCCCGCGAGCTGGAACAACCATGTCTTGAGGGCGCGGCGGAAGGAAGGGAGATCAGGGATCACCCTGATCTCTGGGGGCAGTTCGTTCTAGTTCATACACTTCCTTCATGCCCTCCAGATCTGTTGGCTTTGGTGACTGGAATTTGGGTTGCTCTATGTGTGCCAGGTTTGAGAAACTGCCAAAAAGCAAAGATGCCATGTAATACGAACCTGTAAAAATGCATCCTGTGAACTAAAAAACAACCTTGTTTCCTCTGAATGGCATTCTTACAATTCCTTTCCTTTCATTTTTCGGTTTCAACATTTCATTGTTGAGACTGAATCATTTCAAATATTTACACATTGGCGGAATTATGAACGCTGATTTTGAATGGGACTGCAGCCCATTCAAAAATCTGCTAGAGGAGTTCTCTGCAATCCCTGGGAGATCATTGCAATTGAGAAAATAACAACAGTATTTTCAGGAAAAAGAATGAGTCATAAGATTTAATCCAAAAGGGAAGGGGACCGATACTAAACAACTAGGACAGTGATGGCGAACCTTTTAGAGACTGAGTGCCCAAACTGCAACCCAAAACCCACTTATGCATTGTCAAGTGCCGGGTGGGTGTGGCCCATTGGCTGGGTGTGGTCAGTTCGGTGGGCATGGCCCATTGGGTGGGCGTGGCTACGGTGGTAACAGCAGACTGAGTGGGACTAAAAAGTTCAATCAATTCCAACTTTGCAAGATCTTTTTTTTCCCCGTGAGAAGTTGAAATTGATTGATTGAACCTTTTTTTTTTTTTTGCACATGGCGGAGGCCTAAAGCGAAAAGGTTTTATAAAACCCAGCTGAAGGCCTAGGACTGGGGCGACCGCGCGCGTGCCCACAGAGAAGGCTCTGAGTGCCGCCTCTGGCACCTGTGCCATAGATTCGCCACCACTGAACTAGGAAATACTTAACACATTGTAACAAAGTTAATAAAAAAAAGAGTTTTTCTCTGTTTAAGGTGTAACACAGCTGATATTTCTGTAGTAGGCAGGATAGAAAAATCTGGGTTTCTGAGACTATGAATGCAATAATTTCTCAGTGTTTTACTAACTCAGTCGTGTTTTCTGTTCTTTTTCTCCCTTTTCTAAAAACCAGGATGAACTCTAACTTATGAAGTGAATTCAGAACAAAGTGAATCTGCAGCAGTGGCATGATCAGATCATGTTCCTCAAGAAGAAAAGGAAGTGCACTGAAAATCCTGGGCATGTGGATCTTCACTGACTATTAAGGAACATGTTCTGAATCATCCAAAGTATACATTTAGTAATAAAGACATCAACTCCAGCAACCAGTTTGGTACCCTAACTGCATCTCAGGAAGGCTGTTCTTCTTTGATTATGGACATGGGACTTGATAGTAGTGGGTTTTGTTTCTTTTTTCTTTCCATCTTCCCAACCTTACTCTAGAGAATCATCTCTCGTCTTGAAAAAAAAAGCTCAATAAAATGGTAGGTGAATAGTCTTTTCTTCAAGATAGAAAGACTGAGCAAATCTCTTGGTCTCTGAGGGAAAAAAGATTGAACTTCGGTTTCATCTCTGAGGGGAAAAGACTGAACTTCAGTTTTACTGTTAGTGCACTTTGTCAAGGATTCACTGGGTAAATTAAAGATCTAGGAAGGATCAATTCCTTTTAACATTCAACCCTCTTTATATAGAATATGAGTTCTCTCAACCTCTAGACTGTTGAAGAGCACTCAGATCATCATGAACAACATGAGGATTTCGTGCATGGCAGCTAAGAGAAAACCATGCTTGTGTTGGTGGAACATTTTGTAGAATACCAATGTAAGTGTTCAAAGAGCAATGCCATTGTCTCTAGGGTCATACAGTGGACTGAATTCAGCAGCTGGCAGTACGTGCACAAGTTTGCAGTGTTGGCGGCTAAAGCAGTTTAGTTTTTCATCCCAGGCTAAAGAATTTCCTTCTGCGGATTGTAATAATAGAACTAAGAACATTAATGAGCAGAGGCATTATCCGTCATGGCTTCTGTCATCATCACTTGAAGCAAGAGTGAGATAATATTGGCATGGATTTTTCCATGGCCACCTGAATTTTATTGGTTTCAGCAAAACTTGCTTCCAGGTAAGCAGCTATAGAAGAACAGCTTAAAGCTTTTTATATCAAAGCAGATACACGTTTTAAAAAGCAAGCCTATAAAAAGATATATCTGGATGGAATTTTTCCAGTCAGAGTACACCTTTTTCAGTTTGTGCCACAGCAGAATTATTGTTTTTTAAAAGCAGGATAATCAAACCTGCATCTGAAGCAGTGTGCTTTGATGCCAGCCTGTTCCTATGTCTTGAGAAACAGAATTATAAAACATAAATCTATATTTTAAGTGCCTTCTGAACATTTACTGATGGTTATGGTTACTTTTGTGAAGCTTGTGATGTTGGAACCTACTTGAAATATTCTCATTAGACTTGTTAAAGGATGGAGAGCATGTTCTTGATGCATATCCATACAATATAATTCTTTTCTAAGGCCAAATCAAGACCTATGAAAATATGAAACTTATTCCAGGTTCTTAAAATCTGTTTCACTTGCTCTCACATCTTTCCTTACAACTCTCTTGCTAGTTACTTGAAAAAAAATATTTCTCTGCTGAAAAATGGAATGTGGTGCTTAATATTGACACAAGATTAGTGGCAGTGTTGTTTTAAGAGAAGGAACCACTTTTCGCACTCCTAGCTTTTTTGATTATCTGCCATCAAGTTGAGGTCAATTATTGGTGACCACATTCTAATTGTTATTGACTTCTTATATGTGGATTTTTTTTTCTGCATATGGAAGGATCAGGATGGACATATGTACTTCCATAATCTGAAATATCCATAGCCAGATGTAATCCGTGATAGCTGAGCTAGGAATGCACATCTTGTTATAAAATTTCCAGATATGCTTCTTCCAAGGCTAAGGTTACAGACATTGCTGGTGAATAGAAAGCAAAACAAGAATATGATTTGGTCTGTAATAGAATATAATAGATAAAATGGCTACATCTATTGATAAATGTTTTTGTTCACCAGTTTTCCATATAGCCTATTTGGGATGCAGGATTCAGTAATGTAGAAAAACTTTTAAAATGCTACCTTGCAGGAGGAGGGTGGAAAAGCTGCCTTCCATTTACTTTTAGTCTTAGAAATTGACTTGCAAATTATTTTCTGTATACCCGAGAATGGGTTTTGCTAATAAGGAAACTTGGTTTATGACTGGATCTGGAAGATCTGTTAGGCTTATATAGACCTACCTTTGAGCTCCTTGATTATGCAATCTAGGCCAAAGATTCTACGCTGTAGGAAAACACTCCTATATTCTTCACTGATTAAGTATGTGGTCATACTTTTGGATACTAGACTAGAAGAAGAACAAGTGATTGAAGAAACACAGAATATTTGATTAATTGGGCTTGCATTTGAGGAAGAAATCTGAATGTAAATAGCCTGAACTCATTTGTGAAATGGGCCCATTATTGACTACAATAGTGGGAATCAAATATATGTGAAGGCACAAAAGCTAAAACAACTTGTCTGGGGGGGAAATACATACCTGTTCCTGGGTGCCTGTACATCTGTGTGCTACAAAGAGGAGCTTTGTAAATGTTTGGTGTGAGAATGGCAATTCTGTTTTAAAATCCGTTGTAAAGTTTACAAATAAAAAAACACTATTCTTCTTAGCCCTTTTAAGCAGAACAGATACAGAGCTACACTGTGACTGTCAAAAGTTCTTGTCTCACTCCATGATTGTATTGTAAACAAGAGTTTATGATAAATTAAACTGTATTTCAGGATTGTGATGTTTCTGTCAGATTTTTTTTCCTGAATATTTTCTTAATTGTGTTGCTTCTTTTCAAAGTTCCCAGAATCTTTAATCAAGAAGCAAAGCTCTAGTGATGGAAAATGAGCTGTGTTTGAACTAACTCCAGCCATCCACTGCCCTTAGTTTCTCAAAGACCCCCAGCAAGTATTTGTGGAGCAGATGTTGAAACCTTGATTCCATACTGCCCTCTCCTAAAAAGGGAAGGTTGGAGCCTAGGTGGAAGTTGCCCAACATGGCTGGATTTAAAGAGGAATTTTCCAAGACGGCACACTCCCACCTTCAAGGACACTGGCTTTTCACCCTCCCTAAAAGTGGCATTAATCCCTATCAGCTATCTTAAGGAGTTAGAGGAATGGGCGTGGCCCACTGGGTGGGTGTGGCCAATTTGGGTGTGGCCCATTGGGTGGGCGTGGCTTCGGTGGTAACAGCAGACTGGGTGGGACTAAAAAGTTCAATCAATCAGTTCCAACTTTGCGAAATCTTTTTTTTTCCCGTGAAACCTTTTTTTTTCCGGTGAGAAGTTGAAATTGATTGATTGAATCTTTTTTTTTTTTTTGCACATGGCAGTGGAAGCCTAAAGCGAAAAGGTTTTATAAAACCCAGCTGAAGGCCTAGGACAGGGGAGATGGTGTGTGTGCCCACAGAGAGGGCTCTGCGTGCCACCTGTGGCACGCGTGCCATAGGTTCGCCACCACGGATATAGTCCTTCAGCCATCACACATCAGCTATTTTTTA